GCAGGCTAGCTGGACCAAAGGTTGGAAAGTCTTAAGACACTGTATTGTATGTTCCACTGAAGGAATCTGTAGTCCAACATAACTATGGGATAGCATATCTGTGGTGAGTAGGTTTTTCAGATTTATGTTTGACTGAGTGGGACCAGAAAAACTAGTAATATAGTGGTGAGATGCATAGGAAAATTAGAAGTGCCTAGCAGGAGACTCCATAGTCTTCTCTTTCCTAGCGTAATACAATTTGACTTATCCACCCTGTTACTTAAGTACAAAGTAGGTATTACCCCTGCATTTACACACTGGCTAACAGTTGATAACATTCTGGAATGATACAAGAATGGTTGGATCCAGTATGGTTACTGAAATTCAGCCTTTTCAGATGAACTAGTCTGATCAACTCTTGCTGTAAGTAGCACAGACATTGTTGTGCCCAAATCTTAAAAGCTGGATTTTGCTTTCCAACAAACAGACCTTAGCCAGGTTTACAGGTGTTCAAGTCTTCCTTCCTCCTACTGTAGCAGTCTGTTAACTCCTCTTGAACCAATAAGAAGATGCTGCCTGACCCACTGTTCTCACAAAACAAGCCAATACCTGGTTATTCAGCTAAATACTTTTAATTAGTCTAAATTGCAAAACCACTGCTTGGTGCTATGCTATTTTAATAATTGAAAATATAGATTTGCCTTTGAGATTATTTTAGGCGCTTCATCATTCTGTCCTACTCCTGGTACCAGAATCACAGGGATTCTGCCTGCCTGCCCCGCTAGGGCTTTCCACTCCCTGCCTGAAATCCTTCGTCTTTTCCTATGCAAAATGGAAACACAGCAGGAGAAAAATGGTAAGCTCAGACAAGAAATAGGTACAGAGAATACAATTTGTTCTAAAACAATTGCATCATTTCCTTAGTCAAAAGTGATTGGATAGGATTACAAATGTTCACACTGGTTTGCATGATGCTGGGACAATCTCTTTCTTTACCATTTGCAGGTGGACTGTGATGTCCATTTGTGTGAGTTTTGAAGGACCCACAAAACATGAGCAGAAGCATCTTTGGTGACCAGAACCCCACTCTCTGAAAGTGGAGAGACTCCTTTCTCCCCAACATTACAGCCTACCGTATTCAGCAGGGTCCACAGACTTCCGTGTAACATTTTTGGGGAACTGGCATGGGATTTGCTTTGAAATATGTTTTCCTGGACACTTCCAGGCAGACTCTTAGCATTACCAATCAAAAGACCATACAGGTATTTTGTATCTCTTTCCATTGTGGTTTTTCCATAGAAAGAAAAAAAAGAAGAGGAAAGGGTGATTACAAATGCAGATAATATTTTCTGGATCTCCCATAATAATCCATGAATGAGGCAAGGTGACAGCAGGAGAGAAGCCTTTTCATAAATAAAGATCCATGAGAGAAAATATATTATTTTTACAAGAGAAATGCTGCTGCTGTCAATATTTTCAAAAAGAAAGAGGGACACTCATAGGCACACAGGTACAAGCACAAACTCACATACACTATACTGGTAAAGGGACTAGGAGTACATAGTTTATTTCAGAAACTGTGAGTTTCTCCTGCCGATTAAGTGTGTGTATATTTACAGTACATGAAGAAATCAATAAACCCTCGATGGTGCCTGTGCTTGGCACTTCATGGTGGAAAAATATGACCTAAGACAATCCAAATGGTAGAGATCCGATTGATTTTTCCTCACTGCACAGAATAAGAAGGCCGCAGGCCCAGTTAACACTCTCCAACAGCTTCACCTACAGTTTCAGAGCTATTATTGCTGGATATATCCCATTGATCTCAGTAAGGTGCTATACCATTTTTGTCACGTAAATAAAAAGGTATCTGTAATGATGAACTACTCTTTCTTATGCTTAGCCCAAATGACATATGAGGGTGTTTTCAATTAATGCCTTCATTTTAAAGCTACAATTGAGTGATGGAAGAGCCCTCCCTTCTCATTTATATGCCTAAATCCAATTGCTAGTCCCAACAAGGATGGATCCACTGAAACGAGGGATTCTACACAAGCACCGACTTACCATTCAGAAGATATTTCAATGGGTTTACTGTATTGGTACTAATAAATGGTTCTAGACCTTAGAATTTGGAAATATATGATGCATTTCACTATTATGTAGATATTTAATATAGTCAAATGCTTCAAAATCATTTAAAAGTATTATGGTCATAACTAAGATTCGTTAAAAATACAAAGAAAGTGGACTTGTTTAAGATTTGTTTCCTAAAAACTAGAGTGAATGAGATTTTCAAACTGTATTTTGGGGGATTGTTAATTTTTATATCATTGCAATATTTTAACAATATTATTTGATTATTCAAATATGTTTTGCAGTTTTACACAGATCATTGTAAAACTCATATAAACAGCAGAATATTATGATTTTTTTCCAGAATAAACAATAAATTTTCACAAAAATAATATTTTTATAAATAATAAAAACTTAAGGGCCAATTATATTATGGGTTGTGGGAAACCACAAGACAAAGGATGTTTCAAAATTAAAGAAAGTCTTTTACACGTAATTTCCCCACACATAAATGTCATATTATAAATCAACAAGAATATATATGATAGTTGAAAATTTCTACAGTAATAGTATTCCTGGGATTTTTCAAAATACTATGCAGTGTTGTTACTGTTACAGTTTCTTTTTAAAATTAACTTTAGAAAATTTGTGTGTAGGGGGGAGAGAAATGTAGGACTAAATGGGATAACTTTATTGAATAAACTCTGCATACCAAAGGGACACTCTCTCTTCTTTAATAAGGTGCAAATTATATTTTAATCTAAGTCTAGAGCTTTATTTCCCCCCTCCCCTGTTACCTTTATATAATAATGCATTAATATTACTTATTGCTTTCTATTTCAGTTAAGAATTTTTTATCGGTGTTTTACTTTTTAATTTAAACACAGGATTTAAAATCAAAAAATAGTTCCAAATCCTCTCAAATGAGTCCTATAACTTGAAGTTTTATGATTACTGTTACTTGTCACACTAAAAAGTAATTATATTTTATTCCTTATATTAATTCACATAAGGATGTTATGCCCTCTTTACCTCTAAACACAATGTGTTTAAGGCTATGTTTCTGCTAACACATTATTTCTAAGGTTTGACTTTGATTGTCTCTTTCACACACACACACACACACTTTCTGCTTTTTTGAGGATTTTTGCTCCTCATATGTAGGGAAATTTAAAGATGCCGTACACATGACATGATTAGGCTTGCGAAAAGGAAGTAGTGTTATTCATTTAAAGGTGCAACCTGCTGATCAAATTATGACTCATGTGCGATGGATGCTTGCTCAGAGAAAAGTATTCTCTTGTGTTCTCAGCCTGACAGATGGGTCACTGCTGTAGTTCAAGAAGAGCCAAGAGATGGAGAAAAACCTAGGGACCACTTCTGATCTAGCTAACTGGCAGTTAGAACCAAACATTATTTGTATATAACGTACTTTGTCTAAGTTAACAGAATATATTGTCACACCCACCCAATAATACAAAACAAACAAACACATAAACATATTAACTCAAACCAATAGAAAACGTTAGTGTTTAATGCTTAAGTTACTGATCATGCACCAATCCCCTCCCCAAATTGCTGAAATAAAAAGATCTTAAGGTAAGTGGAGATATAAGGGTGATCTCTTAAAAGACATCTATTTATGGCTCCGTACTGAAAACAGTTGGGGAATAGTCTTACAGATGTAATCTATTGAACAAGCAAATGTGAACTTTAAGCAGGAGGAAGAGACCTAAAAACAATATTTGCTAGACTGACAGTCATACAATTTGAAGCGGTAATTCAATTCTTATTAAAACAACTAGGATGTACAACAAAATGTTGCAGCGCAGAAGGTTCCCCTTCAGGATTTCAAATAGTCAAGGCAGCCACTGATGCCTTCTTGCAGTGTACTCCATTCTATGCCTCCTCCTCAAGAGTCAGTCAACATTTTATACTCAGTGAGCATTCTCCTTCAGGTTTTTTTTTCCTTTTCAGTTTCTTCAAGACTGATGCTACCTCCACCTTGTGTATGGATAGTGCTATTTTGGCTGTGTAATATTTTGGCTGAAGGCACCAGATCCCATTTTATCTTAGATGCAGAAGCAGTTCTAGTTAGTACTAGATGGGAGACTATCAGTAAATACCAGGTTAAATTTCACCCCCACAAATAAAACAACAGAAATTCTTCTGGTTTAGAAGAATGGTGTTTACTGGATCTGAATCACAGAATCATAGCGTTGGAAGAGACCACTAGGGTCATCCAGTCCAACCCACCCAGGAATACACAATCCAGTTATTCCTAACAGATGGCTATGCAGCCTCTCTTTAAAAATCTCCAAAGAAGGAGACTCCATCACGCTCAGAGGCAGCCTTTTCCACTATTGAACAGCTCTTACTGCCAAGAAGTTCCAAGGTGGAATCTTGTTTCCTGTAGTTTAAATCCATTGCTCCATGTCTCTTAAGCAGCAAAAAACAAATTTGCTCCATCTTCAGTCTACCAGCACTTCAAACAGGGCTATCATATCACCTCTTAATCTTCTCTTCTCCAGGCTAAATATACCCACCTCCCTAAGTGGGTCCTCATAGGCCATGGTTTCCCAACCTTTTACCATTTTGTTTGCCCCTCTTTGGATACGCTTCAGCGTGAGACACTGATGATTATGGTAACAATTGATAAATTGCATTATTTTATTTTGATTGATTTTATTTGCCTAAAGTGGTGGTTCTGAACTAGGGAGGCTCCAGATATTGCTGGATTTCAACCCACAGACTCTTTAATGTGGACCATTCTGACTAGGGCTTCTGAAAGTTTAAGTCCAATGATATCTAGAGCCTTCCTCACTGAGAATCACTGGAGTGAGGCAGCAAATAAGTTCCTAGAAAAAAAAAATCTTTGCTGGATATGCACTGTCTTGGAAAATTTCAGAATGATTTTAGCCCTGAAAAGTTTATTTACTTTGTAAGCCAATGTGGTATAGTGGTTTGGGCAACAGACTACAACTCTGATGACCAGAGTTCAAATCCCTGCTCAGCCATGGAAACATTCTCTCAACCTCTCAACCCTTTCTGAACAAATCTTACCAACTAAACCCTGTGATAGGTTTGCCTTAGGGTTGCCATAAAGGTGTAAATGACGTGAAGGTATAAATCAGTAAGAAATATTTAAATAAATAGATAAATAAATAAGAAATATATATTTCTGTTGCATGCTGAAGTGTGGACAACTGCATATGGCAAAACTCTGTGCAGGCATGTAGTACAGATAACAAAATTATCTTTTACATTTCAAATGAAAGTTATTAGAGAAAAGGGATGGAATAATATATGGATTTTAAAGGTGATATTTCAAAGGCAGTTGGTGAAAAGAACAGATCTATTAAATTCTGTTGAAAGTTGCCAGGTGTCCCTTATTATAAGGGATGTCCCTTATTTACAGGCCAGAAAGCTTGTCCCATTTAGGGCAAGCAGATGTCTCTACGTATAAGGAATGTCTTCTATTTCAAAGCTGGGAAGCTTTTCCTTTTATAATGACTGAATGAGTTTCCACACAAAAAATTCCTATTTTGAGGGGGTAAGGACCCTTCATGAAAACAGTAATGTTTATACCATATGATTTATTAATGTGGACAATATGTTAAAATTTTTTTCAGAGAAATACATGGCTAATTGAAATAAATAATTTCATTTAGTACTTAGGCAGCACATAAACTTGTTAACAGCTATTTCCTGTCAACCCTGCAAGTTAGGAATGTCAATTGTTCCTTATTTTGAAAACCTGGCAACACCGAGTTACTGGGGCTGCACAACCTTCTCTTCTTTTCATAAGGCTTCCAAGGAATTAGCACAAGCCCCACCCAGATAAAAGGTGGTTGCTCCCAGCAGTGCTTGGTGGCTTGTGCTTTGTGTCTGTGCACGCGTACGCAAGTGTGCGAGGTGCCTTCTCACACAACAGCCTGTTAACATGTTTGAAAATTTACAAGATCTGCTCTTTCATGCTCTATGGGGGAAACCTGATGCTACAGAGTGTTAAAAGGAGGCAATTATTTTTTCCCCCTCAATGAAGGAGAGAAAATATATCTCTAATCGATTCTTATATCATGGGCCTTTATTCTTTCCCATGGAAGATGAAAGAAATAAAAAAAAATTAGGCATAATTAAAGGTGAGTTAAAACTTAGTGGAAACGTAAAGTATCCACAAATCTGAGTACCGCTCAGCTTTTGAATTGTTTTTCCTCCTCAGTTCTTTTAAATGGCTTTCTATGGCAGGGACATTTTTCTTAATTAGTCACAGCTAATTAGTGTTCTGGCATAGACAAGTAATCAGAAATGTCAGAGCTGCAAGGCTACATCTCCCTAATCCTTTGATAATAATTTAGCCTCCTGGGAGGGCTTCAAGCTGCGGTAAGTAGTGGTTGACAATAAGGCAAAATTAGGTGGGCAGCAGACCATTAGGACAGAAAAATAAAAAGCACTACCAAGTCCTGCTGAGCACCATCAGGCAACTAACTACATTGCCAGATGAGGTGCCTGTTTAAGCCGGGGTTGTTAATTAGCTGATTCTACCAGGCCTGCCACATATGTCCAGGTGCATCAGGCAAAAATAAAATAAAACGTCTATTTCTGTGTTTGTGCCAAGTGACAGTTATGTTCTTACTCAGTGTCTTGAAACCTGATCGGAGAAGTCCACATATTTCTGAAAGATTATTTTGACTTATCCAAGAAATAAGCTGCTCAACATGTTACAATGCATTGTTTTGCGGAGCTTCTCTTGGGAATTAGGTATGCTTCTCTCAGATTTCCCAGTCCTTCATTCTTATGCAGGTTTGGGATTCAAGAAGAGAACTTTTAAGAGCCCTCCACCCAGTCTCAACTTGCAGGAGCTGCCCTGGTGTATAATCGAGATCAAAAGGAGAATCTTTTGTCAAAGCCCAAAACTTCTAATAATAATTTAACATAGAAAATGAAGATGAGGGACTGAAACCAACTTGACAGACTGTAATCGGAGAATGAATTGCTTTGACAGTGAGTTGCTGTTTATATCTTGGAAAAAAAAAAAAAAGAGAGAGAGATGGGAGGGAGAGAGAACAACCATCCAAGCCAGTTCAACTGTGAAGCACAACTATTTTGTAGGATGGAGAAACAATCCTAAAGTTACAGGCCTGTTCTCAAAAATATCACTGGAAGCATAAAACTCAAATGTTATATTCTAGTTATAAGTCATGGTTGAGGCTGGTAATGAGTGTGGAAAACTCGTTACAATCTTCATAACACCCCAACTACTCGACAGCCTTTAAAGAGATCAAGGATTAAAATATTTCCAAGGGATTATCAGTGAGTTTCTTGAAGAAGGGACAGAATACAGTAGTGATGTATGAAATAATTAATTATAACTGAGAGTGGATGTTTACAGGTCTTTGCAATGTTACAAGAAACCTGAATAAAATAAAATCTAATTCTGCCAAGCTGTCTCATGTGTATCAGTTAATCTACATTATGCAAGCCTATTCTATGATCTGAAAAGTTGACGTGTGGTAAATGTTATTAGCATTTAATTCAAATTGTTGTCATGTCACCAAATCATGGAGCCATCTGTTTCTTTGGATGAAAAAAACTAAACATTAAAATGCACATCAAGACTGGTTATGACCATGTCAAGAGGGTTGTAAATATACAAGTGTCTTTAACATGAAAGCATTGCTGGAACTACAGAACAAAGGTCTCGAAAGGTCGACATGAGTACAAGCACATTTCATGCACTAGTTGTCCCCATCTTTAGGAGTCAATGTATTCTGCAAGCTTAATTTCTAGGTCACACACAGGGTTTCATATTGGCTAAGGCTGCTACATATGTTTGGGGAGAGATTTAGCATTCAAAGTTAACACTATGTTGTTGACACATGTCACCTCTCATTTTTACAAAGCACAGCCTTGGTGGATGGGTGTGTGTGTATGTGTGTGGAGTATATAAATGGACAAAAACTGATTTTTTTAAAAAAAAGTGTGATTACTTTACTGAAGACACTCCTCTGTTTGAAGGCAACCTCTGCATAAAAGGCTGTCCAGTCCAGCTTTGGTTTAAAGATAAGGAACCTCAAAAAGGGAGAGCAGGAGACTTGAAACTGCTCAGCAATAGCACCTGCAAACCAGACTGAGCAGGTAGGAAATTCACTTGTGCTACTAAAATGAGATGTACTGTTTCCATTGTATTATCATAATCACCTTAACATTTGCTCTTTTGCACATTCAATAACATACACATGTGTACCCTGTTTTATCTTTATTTTTGGTGACAAGTGAGTGACTTCACCTTCATATGATGTGAGAAAAAGACATTTTCTGGGGCTGCTTTTTTTGTTAAAAGATCAATGAAGACACTGAAATAATTAAAGATTCCCCTATAACTTGTCTCAGTCATTAACAAAAATGGAGACTATAGTCAAGAAATCAAAAGATAATTAAGACTTGGAAAAGTAACCATGAAAGAACTAGATAAAATCCTTAAGTATAAAAGTGTATCATTAAATACCAAAGTAAGATTCATCCAGTCCACAGAGCAGTATTTCTGATTTTTTTTTTGTATGGTTGTGAAAACTGGACAGTGAAAGCTGACAGGAAGAAAATTAACTCATTGGAAATGTGCTGCTGGAGAAGAATTCTGTGGATACCACAGACTGCTAAAAAGACAAGTGAATGTTAGAACAAATCAAGCCTGAATTCTCATTAGAAGTGAAGATGACTAAACTGAAGCTGTCATACTCTGAACATGTCATGAGGCAATGTGACTCTTTGGAAAAGATGATAATGCTTGGTAAAGTGGAAGGCAGTAAGAAATGAGTAAGACTACAATACAGGTGGATTGATTCAGTCAAGGGAGCCACTATCCGGAGTTTGCAAGACCTGAACAGAGCAGTTGATGGCAGAGGATCCTGGAGGTCTCTTTCACTGTTACTATAAATCAAATCTGACTTGATGGCAGGAAACAATAATTAAGTGTGGTTGTTGCTTCTGCATGTCCACTTCCCACAACACTTTGTCAACATTTGAACATATGGGAAGGACATATCAGAGTTGTTCCCAAAAGTTATTGGACTTCCAGTGCTTAGGTTTGCCCCTTGAGGTATTTTTGGGGTGACTGCTGTGATCTTCCGATCAATGCCTACAAGTCCCTTTCTCCTCATCTCCCTAGTGGTGAAGGCATGCCTTTTTAGAGGTAGGGACTATCTCCCTGCTTTTCCACTATCAGTGGTAGAATCCTAGAATCACAGAGTTGGAAAAGACCACAGGGGCCATTGAATCCAATCCCCTGCAAAGCAGGAATATTAATCAAAGCACTCAGATGGGCCATCCAGACTCTGTTTAAAAACCTCCAAAGAAGGAGACTCAGGCAGCATATTCCACTGTTGAACAGCTCTGACTGTCAGGAAGTTCCTCCTGAGATTTAACTGGAATCTCTTTTCTGGTAGTTTGAATCCATTGCTCCTTGTCCTAGTCTATGAAGCTGTGAAAAAAAGCTTGTTCTCTCTTTGATATGACATCCCTTCAAATATTTATGGCTATCATGTCCCCTCTTAGCCTTTTTTTCATCAGGCTAAACATTCCCAACTCCCTGAACTGCTTTTCATAGGGAATGACTTCCAGATCTTTAACCATTTTGGTCGCCTTCTCTAGACACATTCCACCTTGATAACATCCTGACCAAAGCAGAATACAGTGGTACTATAACTTCCCTTGATCTAGACACTATACTCCTGTTAATATAGCTGCTTTAGATGCTGTACAAGGAGAAAGGTGGCATATGAATAAAATAAATAGCACATTTGGTCAAGAGTTGATATAGAACAGAGGGCAGGTTAATAATATCATGCTTCAGTATGAAATAGTGTTGGATATTTAATCAGTGTGATCCAGGTGGGATCTAGAAGATTTTTAACAGTTTGGTCTGAAGTAGAGGGTTTCTTTAACTTCTTCCATCACAATCTGCTGTCAACATAAAATACACACTGCTCACTTTACTATTCATTTGCTACATGTATTA